CTAGAACACAAAGCAAACCCTGTCAATAAATGCATCACGAAACCCCAACCATTTTGTGGCCATCTGTCACTGTATGGAATGAAATTTTCCCAAATCAGTATCTTTCAACTTCATCACAGAACATAGAAAATTTATAGAGAATACACACCCAAATTTGTGGTCATGGGGGCACTCAGAGATCAGACCGAAGGAGAGACAGAACAAAACCTAAGGAGTGATGTTAACATCAAAACGTTCTAACCTTGGAGAACTGGCACACATCATTGAGGGAAGCCATAAAATTAAGTCTGTCATTCTAGCAGCACAAGGAAGAAAATTCTGGTCTGACTTGGAAACCACAGCATTCAGAAGCTAACAGCACAAGGTTTGTAGAAAAGCTCAATTCATCCTTGTCTTTTGCCCCAGGAAATCTCATATTGGGAAGACTGAAATAGAGTCAAATGAGCCTTTGGTGTAATATCTTACAATACTATAAGGAACTCCACAGTGCCACTCACTGTGTACTTGCCCTTCAGTACAGACTAATAACAGAAAGTCTCAGAACGGTGCAACAAGAGTGGTTTCTCAAAGCCAAAACATGGCTTATGTATACAACTCTCCAGAAGTATTGCTTAATCCACAGGCAAATCCTATGGTATCTGTGGAACAATGAACTGCATTATTTTGGGCTCTGAGCTGTCGACCACCAACCACTGTCTCTTGCTAATGGCATTTCCATCTTCCCAAGGAAGTCCTTGATCCTCTATGATCCTGAGATGCAGAGGGACCCCCAAGCCCATCCTGTGCTCAAAAGCACCAAATCACAGAGAGCTATCAAGAAGCTCCAATTCTGGGACATGTAAAGGCATCCAGGAAGACAAGAAGAGTTTGCAGTTACCATTTTTATTTTGGTTTTTATTTTTGCTATGAAAGTTTTGAACTATTGATATAATTTGTGTGTCCAGTAGGGAGGAGACTGACCCAGTGAAAATCAGTATTGATGGATAAAGTAAATCTTTGCCCTTGGAATCATCCAGGCATGACGTTTCACCCTCAAAGGGAGGTCACGTTGGGCTGAAATTAATTTGAGTCAGGTTTTCTGCAATTGTGTTCAAAACATTGACCAATACAATTGCTATCTTCCTTTCACTTAGCAAAGGCATTGACAACCACTGAGGAGAGAAATGCATAGTATTCTGAGCTTTTTCTAAATTCAGAAGATAGGCTTTGAATAAGCAATCAAGCAGCAGCAATAAGACAGAAGCCTGAGAAGAGTGAGGTATGCTAGGGGCATGCAGTGGTTAAAAGGTTTGTTCGGAAAACAGTTGGCACACACCAGATCACCTAAATTAAAGGCAAAACCTTTCCTTTCACAGATTTAATTTCAAGCATATCAAATATTGTCAAAGAGGTGACATAGCTTCTCAGACACACTGATGAAAGTATAATTTTAAAGCCATTTTGGAAACTGCTGTTATCTAATGAAAGCAAGTGTGGCTATAATTAACTTCCATGCCTGATGTTAGTAAAAATGCAGAATGTTCTCAACCATGTATATTTGTAAGAATGTTCCTGCTGCATCAAGAAAGAGCCTGCACTTCAGGGCTGGAGAGAAGAGTCAACAGTTAAGAACATGTACTGCTTTTGCAGAGGATCCACATTCAATTCCCAACAGCACAAGTTGGGCAGCCCACAACTGCTTCCAACAGCAGCTCCAAGGGATTCCAATGTCTCCACCTACACCCATGTGCACATACACACACATACACATAATTAAAAATAATGCCAGGCGTTTGTGGTGCATGCCTTTAATCCCAGCACTTGGGAGGCAGAGGCAGGCAGATCTCTGTGAGCTTGAGGCCAGCCTTGTCTACAGAGCGAGGGCCAGGATAGGCTACAAAGCTACACAGAGAAACCCTGTCTTGAAAAACCAAAAAAAAGTAAATATTTTTAAAAGAGCTTATATCTCAAAATAACCCAAACAGTCATCAACCAGTAATAGAATCAAATAATAAATTATTGAGTATTTTCCCAATGGAATACGTACAAATATGTAATTAAAGAAACAGGAACTATATATCCAATACAAGCACATCTCACAAACACAAAAAGTATGGTTCCATTACGAAAAAGTCTAAAAATGAGGAAAACACCTAATAAGGAATCAGAGTCGGAAGCATCAGTAGAGTTTCATCCTATGACCTGGTGTTGGTAACATGGATTCATTCTCTCTGACAAACTGACTTATCATTAACTATGCACTTTTATTATATGTATCACAGAACAATTTTAATGAAACCAAGAAATGGTTATCTGTGCCTGTTCACATTCAAATATTCAAAATTGCTGTGTTATGGACATGCCAGAATATTGAAGTCTGGAAATTTCATGCAATGGTGACCTAACTGTAACCTTGGATATAAAATTTCTCAGTAAAGTTCCCAGAGAATATTAGTGTTATGCAAATAAACATTCTGGTGAACACTGAGAAACCTGGTTACAAAACATCCTCTTAAATCACTGAAGGAATCAGCTTAGGGGATGGGGTATTTGTTATAAGGCAAAAACATCAGAGAAAAGATAGCACAAAAATGAAAACGGTATGAATACAATAGTAAAGTTGAAGTTGAAAGTAGCCCTTCTGCAAGAGTATTACCCACAGTAATGTAACCAGCACAGCAGATCAGTGCAACTGATGTTTGTTGGTATAGCTACTATTTTCTTCCTAACACACTTAAATTTGCATTCAGCAAGAATTGCACAGCTGAGTCCCTATATAAAACCCTGTAAAGCATCTCTGCTCACTTTTATTCATCATAAGGTCCTACTTTCAACTGAAATACAGTTTTCATTCAAAATGAGAATACTCTTGCCAAGATATTAGTATAAGGCCCAGTCCTTGATGATGTCCATTTGTCTTGCCTCCCACCCCCAGGTCTGCTTCAGGCTGAAAGGCACATGTGACATAAGGGATTTCATTTCCCTTTCTCTCTCTAGAGTGTCTCCCTCCTCCACCTTCTCCCTAATGAGCTCTGATTGTTCTGGTTTCAGGGAAGCAAGAAAGGAGAGAGTGGGGAAGGAGGGATGGATTGATACTGTAACATGGATAAATGGGCTTCATAGTTGATCCCATTGCTCATTCCTTGGACAATCTCACGTGTCTTCTGAATGTCACATCCCTGCATGCTATCGAACTGCAGTGGAAGGGTAGGCATTTCCTAGGCTTCCTAGAGTTCATATGCTCTCAGATTTTTTCTTGACCACATTTTCTGCTGACTGTGACCACTCATCTTCCAGTAGAATTCTATTTAGATAGAACCCCAAATTCCCTTCAGACCTTTGGTCTCTGGCACATTTGTTCAAGGAAGAGTATTGTGTTTCTAAGAGATTATTCTCAATGAGTGAGGTGGTGCCTTGTCTTCACAACTGATTATTGAGAGGAGGCAGTAATGCCATAGACACCTCTAACCAAGTTCCAGAATAGCTTTTTGAAAGATTTGCTACTAGGTTTGGTATCTCTATGTGCCCCAGAAAGAAGGGGAAATGTATAATGTGCCCCTGAATATCCCCACAACCAAAATTCCCTCAACAAATTTCTACTCTGTATACCCTTTTAAAGTTTTTAACAATCCACAGGGCCCAAGAGCAACAGTATCTATCTTTGTCTTTAGCCAATTCCTTTGTGAATTGATCTGACTATAAGAATCTGGCTTTTGAATTTTACTTCTATTTTATCTGACAACCTGTCAAAAATTCCATGTAAGCATTCTGTTATAGGCACATTTACCGAGTCAACCACTAGGGTAAGTTCTATTTTACACCATGGGGTATCTTTCTCGAAGGCCTATCAGGATCACCTAGTCAGTCATAAGGAGAGGCACAGACAAGATTCAGATATGGAGCCTTGCTTCAAAGATTCTGTATACCATTTTTGTCTTTTTGTGACTGGGTAACCTCACTCAGGATGGTTTCTTCTAGTTCCATTCATTTTCCTGCAAATTTCAAGATTCCATTGTTTTTTTCCACTGAGTAGTACTCCATTGTGTAAATGTACCACATTTTCTCCATCCATTCTTCAGTTGAGGGGCATCTAGGTTGCTTCCAGGTTCACAAATATTACTGCAATGAACATAGTTGAACAGATGTCCTTGTTGTATAAATGTGCTTCTTTTAGATATATGCCTAAGAGTGGAATTGCTGGATCTTGTGATAGACTCATTCCCATTTTCCTGAGGAGTCGCCATCTGATTTCCAAAGTGGCTGTACAAGTTGGCACTCCCATCAGCAGTGGAGGACTGTTCCCTTCTTCCACATCCTCTCCAGCATCAGCTGTCATTGGTGATTTGATTTTAGCCATTCTGACAGGAGTAAGATGATATCTCAGAGTTGTTTTGATTTGCATTTCCCTGATGACTAAAGATGTTGAGCACTTTCTTATGTGTCTTTCAGCAATTTTAGATTCCTCCATTGAGAATTCTCTATTTAGTTCTGTACCCCACTTTTTAATTGGATTATTTGGTGTTTTAGTGACTAGCTTCTTGAGTTCTTTGTATATTTTGGAAATCAGTTTTCTGTCAGATGTGGGGTTGGTGAATATCTTTTCCCATTCTGTGGGCTGCCATTTTGTTTTGTTGACTGTATCCTTTGCCTTAAAAAAGCTTCTCGGTTTCAGGAGGTTCCATTTATTAATTGTCCATCTCAGTGTCTGTGCTACTGGTGTGATATTCAGGAAGTTGTCTCCTGTACCAATTCATTTGAGGGTACCACCTACTTTCCCTTTTAATAGGTTCAGTGTGGCTGGATTTGTGTTGAGGTCTTTGATCCATTTGGACTTAAGTTTTGTTCTTGGCAATAGATTCAGGGATCTATCTTCAGTCTTCTACATGCCAGCATCCAGTTATGCCAGAAACATTTGTTGAAGATGGTCACTCATATATGGATTTTAGACATAGAGCAAAGAGTACCAGCCTACAATCCCCACAGACAGAGAAGCTACAAAAAAAGGAGGACCCTAAGAGAGA